AAATTTGGAGGACAGCTACCTGTCCAACTGATTGGAAGAGATCCATATTGTGCCCATTCCAAAAAGAGGTGACCCAACAGAAGTGGAAATCACTGGACAAAATCATTAATATCACATGAAAGTAAAACTTTGCTAAAGCTAATTAAGAAATAGCTGCAACAATACATTGACAGAGAATTGCCAGAGATTCAAGTCTGATTCCAATGAGGATGTGGAATGAGGGATATTGTGCTAATATTAGATGGATATTAGCTAAAAAGAGAATACCAGAAAGATGTTTGCCTGTGCTTTACTGACAAGGCAAAGACTTTGAACTGGATCATGACAAGATTTGGATAACATTGTGAAAAACTGGTATCCCAGAACACTTAATTGTGTTCCTGAGGAACTGATACATAGACCAAAAGGCAGCCATTTAAACAGAGCAAGGGAACACTGACTGGTTTAAAATCAGGAAAGGCGTGCACTAGTATATTCTTTTACCATGCTTTTTCGATCCGTATGCTGAGCAAATAATCAGAGAAGCGGGATCATATGAAGAAAAACATAGCATCAGGATTGGAGGAAGGCTCATTAACAACCTGTAATATGCAAATGATACAACATTGCTGCTTAAAGTGAAGAGGACTTAAAAACTTGCTGGTGAAGATCAAAGACCACTGCCTTCAGTATGTGTTGCACCTCAATGCAAAGAAAATAAAAATCTTCATGACTGGCCAAATCAATAACATCGTGATAAATAGAGAAATGGTTGATGTTGTCAAAGACTTCACTTTGCTTGGATCCACCAACAACACTCACGGAATCAGCAGTCAAGAAAAACAACTTATCACACTTGGCAAATTTGCTGCACAAGACCTCTTTAAACTGTTCAAGAGCAAAGATGTTGGTTTAAGGACTAAGGTGCACCTGACCCAAGCCATGGTATCTGCAATGGCCTCATATGCCTGGAGAAGCTGGACAGTGAATAAGGAAGATCATAGAAGAATTGATGCATTTGAGTTAAGGTGTTAGATTTGTTGTTAAGTACTGTCAAGTCAGTTTCAACTCAGCTACCCTGTATAGAGTTTCTGAGGAGTAGATGTTGGGTTTCAACTGCCAACCTTGTGGTTTGCAGTCCAGTGCTGATCCTGTAGCACCACACCAGAAGTCCTGGTGTTGGAGAAGAATATTAAAAGTACCATGGTCTGCCAGAAGAACCAATAAATCTGTGATGGAAGAAGTACAGCCAGAATGTTCCTTAGAAGCCAGGATGGTGAATTGTTCTCTCATATTTTGGACATATTAACAGCAGGACCAGTCCCTGGAAAAGGATATCATGCTTGGTAAATTGGAGGGTCAGAGAAAAAGAGGATGACCTCCAACAAGATGGACTGGCACAGTGGCAACAGCAATGGGCCCAAGCTTAGCAACGATGGTGAGGATGATGCAGGACCGGGTTGTCTTTCATTCTACTGTGCAAAGGGTCCTGTGAGTTGGAAGCTCATAGGTGGAAATCAAGTGGAATAGCCTATATCTGATAGGAATTCTAGAATAGGAAAAGATATAAAAATCCTGAGAGTATATTGTCCAAGTATTGCTAGAAGAAAATTTCCCTAACATCATGAAAGACAAGTTTGTTCAAGAAGTTGAACAAACTCCAAACAGGAAAGACCACAACAGAAAAACACCAAGACATATTGCAATCAAACTTTCCAAAACCAAAGACTTTTCAAAACCAAAGGAGAAGAACCCAGATAAGCAGCTCAGGAAAAATGTAAAGTTACCTACAAAAGAATAATAATAAGACTAAGCTATGATTTCCCAACAGAAACCACAGACAAGAAGACAGTAGAATGACATATCTAAAACTCTGAAAAAAACAAATTGCCAACCAAGAATCATATGCCCAGAAAAACTCCCCATCAAATATAACATTGAAATTAGGTCATTTTCAGACAAGCAACCTTATAAAAACTACTAATGGGAGTTCCTAGGACAGAGAACTAACAACAGCAGCCAACAACCTAAGACTAACTTACATGAACTATCACCTAGACTCAACCCAGATACGTTGTTGTTGTTGTCAGGTGCCATCAAGTTGGAACCGACTCCTAGCGACCCCATATACAGCAGAAAGAAACAATGTCCAATCCTCGGCCAACCTCAATGATGCCACCTGGCCAATCCATCTCATTGGGGGTCTTCCTCTTTTTCTCTGACCCGCCACCTTACCCAGCATGACACCCTTCTCCAGCGACTGTT